ACTGCCTCAGGGAGTTAAAGCCTGGCCCTCAGGTGGGCAGTGGCCGGTGGAGGAGATGAGGGCTCTACCACATTCACCTTCTGGAATCCTCACTGATTCTGCCTTTTGCTCCCAGGTGGGGGACAGTAGGTACCGTTCTCCTTTAACACCTGGGCCCGAAGGTGGACCCTGGGTCCTCTCCCGGCGCCCCCAGCATGGCTCGGCCAGGCTGGAACCTGTAACAGGACCTGACTAAAAGCCAGGAATAGCAAAAGGGTAAAACACAGTGTAATATGTAACTAAGTAATGCGGCTCACAAAGTATCACTTTCCCAGGGAACTGCTCCCCAGGAATGGATGCCTCTACCCTCCCGCAGTGGGGGGCCTGGCAGAGTCTGCATGTGAACACGCCTGGGGGCCCAGGGTCTGCACAGGCTGCACACGCCACCCACCAGGGCTGCTGCTGCGGGAGCTCCTTCCGGGCCGAGGCTGCCTCTCTCCTCTTCCTCCTCTCGCTGGCCTCCCTGCTTCCCAGACTCCATTTCTATCCCAAGCCCCTGATGGTTCATCTAAAGCAGCGGTTCTCAACCTGTGGGTCGCAACCCCTTTGGCAGTCGAATGACCCTTTCACAGGGTCGCCTAAGACCATCCTGCATATCAGATATTTACATGACGATTCATAACAGTAGCAACATTACAGTTATGAAGTAGCAACGAAAATAATGTTATGGTTGGGTCACATGAGGAACTGTATTTAAAGGGCCAGAAGGTTGAGAACCACTGAAAAGGAAACCCAGGGTCTTAAAAGCCACTAGAGCCCAGATGAGTGGGAGCAAGGCTTGTGCAAGACTTGGGGACAAGCCTTCTCACCTCTCGTCACCGTGGCCCCTCTGTCCTACAGAGAGACTGTCCTCACCAAGGAGACAGGCGTGGCCCACCGATTCCCTCCCCTCCTCCTGCCCCCAACACCACAGCCCGACTTCAATTCTGAGAGCTCCTTTTCCTCGGGACGGGCATTGAGCTGACCAGCTTCCAGACCCCCTCCCTGACCTTGGGGGTCCAGAGAAATGACTGACGAGAACTGAACACAACAAGATGTGAAGAGGCCCTTCAGCTGGGGCCCAGCAGGGGCCCAGGGTGCAGCTGCTGCACCCCCAGAGCTGGCACCAAACCCTCCTCTACATCCTTTGATCTCTGGACCAGGGGGTCACCGCTGCAGGCTGGGTTCGCTGCCCGGGCCCCACAGTGCGTAGGGGCACGCCGTCCTCTCTGCAGCTCAGCCAGGCGCCCAGCCCTGCTTCCTCCATGCCCTCCCACACTACCCCTGCCCCTCAGCCTCCACAGCCGGGAGTGCTGATCTCCCCAAACAGGAGAGCCACGATGGGGGGTGGTATGGCCGTGCCAGTGACTCAGTTTGCTCAGGCTCCCAACATGGTCACGCGCGGGGGAGCCAGAGGCTGGGTTCTGGTTCTGACCCACTGACACATCTGCTCTCTTGAGCGTTTGCTTACCTCAGAGGGGCCTCGGCATTTGCTCTTGGAAAGCATGGAGCTGGTGTGAGAAGTGGCCAGTGAGATGATGAACGCGACACCACTTTGGAAAGCAGAGGGACGGACGGGGCAAGCTGTTAACCGCCCAGCTGTTCCCGAGGGCAAACAGCTGGAAGTCCCAGCGCCTGGCTCCCCAGACCTCAGGCTTCTTGCTGCTCCTGTGCTGAGCAGTGCAAGGAAGAGCCTCATTCTCTGGGGTGGCCAGATCCTGCCCAGACCCCTGAAGATCCCTGGGAGCAAACCAATTGCTTTATTGCACATATTTGCGGGGCAGGAAGGGGTGTCTGGACACATGTCCCAGGAATTGCTCCCCGCCCAGGGTGGCCGCCAACCTTCCCTGTCCCCTCCCCAGGCCCCTGCCTCTGACCCACGAGGCTGCTGCAGGAATTTTCCGCCGATGGGTGGGTGGTGGGTGGTTTCCTGGTAGGAAGGGGCGGTGGGAGCCGTGCCAGGAGGGTGACCACTGTGTTGGAGCCTGCCCGGCTGACGTCAGGGCGTGGTGCGCAGATGGAATCCGTTTGTCCAAAGATCATCGCGCACGTCGGTGGCTGTTTGCTGAGTGCTCAGTTCTCTTTAGAAACGGGCCGCCCCACTCCCCGGGCTGCCCTCGGGAAAGGAGAGGAGCGGCATCCTGTCCAGGAGTGACATTTCAGGTTAGACGGGAGGGCCCTTCCAGCCCACCCCTGGGTAATGACAGCACTTTAAAAGGGTATAAACACAGGCAGCTCCACCACTTATCTCGGGCTCACTGGGCTGGATCGTTATCAGCGCTGTGCAGAGGAGGAAGCAGGGCAGGAGGTGAAGTGACTCGCCTGGGGCCGTGCAGTTAATTAGTGGCTGGAGCTGGGGCTGCATGCCAGTCCGAGCCTCTGGCTGCCGCAGCTCCCAGCCTGGCCTGAGAGGCTGTTCCCTCGGGTGGGCTGCAGGGATGGCGTGTTGGGTGCTGCCCATGGCAGGAGGGAGCTGCAGGGCCACACTCCCACATTCCTGAGGGCGCCCACTGAGCGCATTCCCAGCCTGGGCCTTGCCTCCTTCTGTCCAAAGAGGTATTGGGAAGCTTATAAAACGTCTCAGGTATAAATTATCCTCACTATGGCATCAAGGTAAGATGGAGAGAGAAAGCCTAGGGTAGTGTTCCCGGTGAGGCCCTTTCCAGGCCAGACTGATGCCTTTCATGCTGTCGATGGGTGCGCTCACCTGCCCTTGTGGCCTCTCCTGCCTGCATCTCAGCTTCACAGGAGGCTCACTCAGGCCAGGACCAACCTGGGCTCTGGGCTGCTCTCAGACCAATACCTTCAAGGGGAGTCCTCCTCACAGGTGGAGGGGGTGATAATGAAAGACCCCTGGTCCTCCTGAAAGGCTTGAGGATGGTTGGCAGGCAGGGAGCACTGAGGCAGGGGTGAGGGGCCTGTGTGGGCCGCTAGGGCTCTGTAACTACAGAATCAGAGTCCAGGATAGAACCTCGCAGGTCAGCCGAGCTAGGTCCCACCCAGGGATCCCTTTCAAATGGATGCCTAGAGATGTTTGTTAGGTTTCTGCTCACACGTTTCCTGGGACGGGAGGCTCACTACGTCACGAGTCCTCTCTCCATCTGGGTCACATGATGTCCTTAAACTGCCTCTCACTGGGTCCCAATTCTGCCCTCGGACCTACACACAGCCCAGGGGGCTGCACTTTGCAACCTGGCATCACCACCCACTAGCAACTTGACCTCCCTGCGCTTCAGTTTCCTCGTCTGCGACACGGGGATGGCAACAGTTCCTCCGCAGGAACTGAGTGAGGATCGAATGCCTGCCGGTGGGACCCATGGCCGCCGGCCCATCGTCAGTGCTCACTGAAGGGCAGACGTTTTCACCTGCACGTGGCTCTCTCCTTCACAACCAGGGAGCCGTCCACCCTCTGTGCTCTCCTTCAACGACGTGTGGTGAGCCTCACCTGCCTCCGGCCCAGCAGCTTCCTGTTGTGGACGCACTTCTGCTCCTGCCGCCTGAGTCAGCATCCCATGCAATGGCCCTTCTGGCTCTTGGGACTTCAGAGCTGGCCTGGTCTCTCCAGGCCAACACTTGCAGCCCTCGGCCCTGAAATCAAAGTCCGAACTGTCCACTCGTGCAGGTGACATTTCCTGTTAGTCTGGGTCTGTCCTGACATGTCGGCCCTGGCTCTGGCGGTGATGGTGAGGAGAGCGGAGCCTGCGGCTGGCAGCAGCGAGGAGAAGGGTCTGGGAGGAGGCTCTCCGGGGGCGGGGTGGGGAATGCGGGTTTGCTGGGGCCTCAGCTTAGCTCTTCCGGGAGCTACACTCTGCCCACCAGCGGTTGGTGGAAGCCTCCCCGCCTCTTGCCTTGCTCACCAGGTGGACCCTTCTCTCGGGGTCCCAGTTGCTCTGAGGTTGGCCAGTCCTGCCTGTGGCCCCAGGGATGCCCCGGGAGAGGGGCTGGCGAGGTCAGCACGAGAGCGTGGCGCGTGCTCCAGGTGCAGGCTGTCATTATGCTCATTCCAAAGGGACTGTTAATATAATGACCGAGTTCATGAGCAGAACTCGGCCATGCTCCCAGGGATAGGGGAGCCTTCCCCCCACCCGGTGCCTGCTGATGGATGGGGAGTCCGTAGCCGTCTCTTCTCCCTCTGGTCTGCCCCTCCCTGCCACCTCCCTCCACTTGTCCCCCTTCAGTCTCACCCCATTTCCCTCTGGGTGAGGGGGTACCAGAAAGAGAGTGGCCAGACAAGACGTGGGGGCGAGGAGATGGGACACTGGGGACCTTGGTTCTCCGGGGAAAAGGAATGTAAGTGTGATGAGACCACCCCTCTCGATCGGGTGCTGCCTGGGCTGGGGATTGCGAGGAGGGCTTGAGAGGAGAGGGGAGAGGGGGAGGGCAGGGGGCAGCAGGCTGAGTGGGTGGGGAGAATCCCGGGTGTTATTTGAAGCTCCTTGCCTCACCGCCCGGGGCTGGTTCTGGCTTCTTTCCTTATGGAGCTCCTTTCCTCCTGGAATTAAAGGGCCTGAGGGACCTATCAGTGTGTGCAGCGAGCGCCTGCGATGATGCACAGCCATACGCGTAGTGGCCTTGATTTCCCAAGCAAGCGTCAGACACAGCGGGTCCAGGATTCAAAACCTGGGTGGTGTGGGCTGAGTCCTGACGAAGCCCTCGCTCCCAAAGCTCACAGCCTCGTTGGAGAAGTGAGGCTCCCACGGGGCAGGGTTATGGAACGCGTGCCTCTACCATTTGATCGCTGTGTGACCTCGGGCAGATCACTCGGCCTCTCTGAACCTGCCTCCTCCTCTATTAAGGGAAATAAGAACATGCAATAAAGTGCTCAGTGGGTGGTTGGCCCAGAGCCCAAGCGTGGCTCTGTGATGGTTGTCATAGCAACAGCGGGTGATGTGGGGAAACTGGCTGAAGGAGATGGACCGTGAAGGTTGAGGAGGATTTGGGGAAGGAATGGGAGTGTGGGCCCGGGCGATCAGCTTGGAGAATGGGGTTGGAAGGGGAAGGACCTGTTGGGAGGAGAGGAGCCAGGGGGTAGGGTGACTGGGGAAGGTGGAACAGCAGAGCTGTGTGCTTGCACATGGATCACAGCAGCAGGCTGTGGGGCTCAGACAAGGTGCAGCCATGTACTCATCCACTCACTCAAGAAATATTTAGCGAGGACTTGCTCTGTGCCAGGCACTGAGGTGGGTGCGGGGGACACAGAAGCAAGCAGGACAGACAAGGCCCCTTTCCTCACGAACTTTCACGCTACAGAGGGCTGGATGATTAACCAGCAAATGAATTAAATGAGCAATGAAGTTCAGGGAAGAGACGATTTGGGAGAAAACACAGAGGGGTAACTTGAGGGATGGGCACATCAGGGAAGACCTCCCTGGGAGCTGACATTGGAGCAGAGGTTTGAGTACCTGGAAGGAAGCCCCAGACAAAGGGCAAGGCGAGCGCAAAGGCCCTGCAGGGTTTGGGAAAAGGTCAAAGGGTCAAAGGAGATTGCCCGTTGGAGAAGGGGGAGCGGGGGGAGAGGGCACAGGGGGAGGACCGGGGAGCTACTGGAGGGTTCAGTGCAGAGGGGATCTGACTTGTTTTGTTTTAAGATTTTATTAAATTAATTTGTTTAGAGACAGAGAGAAACATGGATGCGAGAGTAAAACAATTGATGGCTGCCTCCTGCACGCCCCCACTGGGAATCGGGCCTGACTTGAGTTTTAATAGGATGACTCTGGGCTCTGGGTGGAGATGGGGTGTGGGGCAGGGAGGGTGTGGAAAGGCAGAAGTGGGGACATCAGTTGGGAGGCAACTGCTGTCATCTAGGAGGGAAGTGATGGTGGCTTGGAGCTGGTTGGCAGCAGTGGAAAAGGAGAGATGGTAGATGTGGGGCGTATTCTGGAGGTCGTGATGGAGAGGGTGGGGGCAGGGTGTGGGAAAAGAGAAAGGAGGGATTAAGGGGGTTAAGGAGGGCTCTGAGGTTTGGGGCCTGCTCCTTATTCGTGCCTTAAAGAGGTGGGGAAGGAATGTGGGGGAAGGAGGGGCAGGATTGAGAAGGAGGCCCTGGGGAAACTGGGCCAGGGGCTGGGGAGCAGGTCCTGGCAGCCCAGAGCGGCGGGCTCCACCACCCTCACATTCCCGGGGACCAGGCCAGGCTAGGCCTGCAGAGGCCCCGCCTTGCTACCTGAGCCTGCGACCTGCTGTCCGTTCTCTGCCAGGCCTACGACCAGGGGTGATCTGGATGCTGAGCCTCCATCACATGCCTGGGGCTTGAGGAGGCGAGGCCACAGGCGAGAGGGGTGTTGGTGTCCAGAGCAGGCCGGGGGGAGGTCAGCACAGAGAGGGGGTCCATGTGGGCAGAGAGCCCCTGGAGGGCGAGCCATGGGAGCCCTGGGCCAGCAGGAGCAGTGGTGACACCTTCTCCTGCAATGAGACAAAGGCGAGACCCTCAGAAATCCCCCTGGAGCCTCGGGAACTTGGGGGTGGGGTGGGGGGAGGGTGCCCAGACTCGGAAGGTGGGCCACACTCAGCCAGACCGGTCCAGACACCCTCAGTATCTGGAAAAGAGGATGTGCAAGCCAGGAGAGCAACAGGGCTGGTCTGGGATGTCCAAGGCCTCTGGATCCCGCCTCTCTTCCGTGGCTGCTGGATGGTGAGGGCTCCCTGAGGATTGGGGTCCCCCTTCCTGCTCCAGGCCTTGGTTGCCCTGTAGCCAGGATGTGGAGCCAAGCTGCTCAGACCACAGGATGTGGGGAGAGCTGGTGTGGCTGCCCACCGGCTCCCTGTTCCGCGTCTCTGGCCCCGCCCTTCCTCCAGGTGAGCAGAGGGGAAGGCCTGGAAGGCACTGCCACTCAGGCCCACCTTTCCAGAACTCAAGCTAGATGGGCTGGCATCTGGTCATCTGGGGCCCAATTAGTGGGCATGGAGCAGGGGCAGGGGTGGAGGGAGCGGGGGGAGAGGGGGGAGGTGAAGGGGTCGGACGGGCGCTTCCTGGATCCATTACAGTATTTGGTTTGGGACTTTGGGAACAGGCCTGGTTCCAGCTCCTTATCTCGGCCTGGTGATTAGATTCCCTGGCCTTCGATGTGACCGAGCCTGGGACATAGGACCCTTCTGCCACCCAAGCCCAAACCCCAGCACTCCCACTCCCCGGCCACGGAGACCTGGGCTGTGCCAAGTCCAGCTCAGTCCAAACCCCCTCCGCACGGCCTGTCCTACCTGCTCAGCCCCCGCTACCCCACTGCCCGCTGCCCTCTCCCAACCCCGCAGGTTCTCAGGACAGAGGCACAGGAGCCCTGGCCTGGCCCCTTATGACAGGCCTGGGGGCTTAAAGGGGAGACCGGTCAAGAGCGGGAGGGAGTTTCTGGAAGTTCCCGAGTGGGCCACTGTTTCCGGAGGAGAAATTGAGGGAGGCTGTGCGGATCCCCAGGGAGACCCGTGAACAGGGAGCCAGGACGGGGGAGTCAAATGCCTTGTGCTGGAGTCAGACCACTCTGAGGAGGCAGGTGCTCGGTCTCCTTTCTTCTCTTCCTTCTTTTTAAAATGTGGCTGCAACACGCTGTCAGTTATAAAACAGTCCCGGATGTAAAGTGCAGCATAGGGTGTACAGTCATAATGTTGTAGTAACTATGTATGTGCCAGGCGGGTGCAAGACTCACCAGGGGATCACTTTGCAAGTTATATGAATGTCCAGGATGACTGCTAACAAGGCTGGGGAAGGCATGGCAGGACCTCTGACCTCTGATGACTCCCCCCTCAGGCCACTGACCCAGGGCTGCCTGGCTGTGGTAGACACCGAAATCTGCCTCCTCACTGTCCCCTAGCAGATCTGTGGTGAACTGACAGCTCGCTGGGGTCCCAGGGAACAGCCGCGGAAAGGCCGGCTCCCCAACCCACTGTCACTGAGTGGCTCCTTCCAGGTCCTGGCCCCTGAGGGTTTGCAGGTCATTCCTGCCAGCCCCCTAATGCCGGTGGGCGGGCTCTCCCTGCCCCTCCCTGCCCCTCTCCCGAAAAGGCTCCCTGGGAACAGCCCTTTCTCGCATTTCTGCCCTGTGCTTGGATTCCCTGGGGCATTCATCTCGGGTGGGGACATATCTGCAGTGGACGGGGAAGAAGGGGGGAGGTTGAGGGATCAAGTAGAAGGATTGGGGTGCAGGATGGATTGCTGGGCCTGGGACCAGCCACCTCCATCCTAGGAGCCCTGGAGGGAGCGGATTCTGACCACCTGTCTCCATGTCCCTTATCATTTCTCCAGTCTGTCACCAGCTGTAACAGTGGTCACATCCCTCCCACCATCATCTTCACCATCAATGGCACCAACTGCCCTGCTAGCTGCCCCCTTCCCTGTAATTCTCCCCATCTCTCTCCCCTCCCCTTTCTACCTGGGAATGGGGGACAGCAGGCTGGGTGGGAGGGGAGCCCATTTGCAGCCCTTAGGGTTCTGGAACATCAGATTTGCAAAGACCTTAAGGATGATCGTTTTATCAACCTCTTCCACAAAAATCATACCGGGAACCACCTCTATCCAGCGCCTTCTTCGATGCAGTACCTACTGGTGGAGTCCGCCTCCCTTGGGATCTTTGCTCTACAACTTCCGAGCTTTGACCTTGGAGAAGTCAGCATCTCTGAGCCTCTAGCTCCTCACCCGCAAACTAGGGCCAATACGTGTTCACCCGCTAAGGTCCTGATAAGATTAAACGCGCTGGTAGACGTCAGTGGTTAGGTAGAGAGTGCCAGGCACACGCTGAGCACTCCCGCGCTGGCTGCTCCTCCTGGAGTCGCTGCTGAGCCAAGGGCTCTGTGTACACTTGCTCTTCAAGTCCCCGGATAGTCCTGGGTAGGCACCGCCTCCCCTCCTACAGGTGGCCACTCACCCCTCCTTTTTTTTAAAAAAAAATCTATACAATAACGATTTAATTAAAAAAAATACCAGATACAGAAAGGTCTACAGGTAAAGGTCACTCCATGGTGCTACCTCAAATGTCTTCTCCCATCTCGCTGGCATCGAGAAAATCTGTGTCCTCTGTTGCAACACAGTCTTCTACACTCTAACCCAGGGCCACCTGACGGTTATCAAACGTTTCCATAGTGGTCCAGCCAAAGCTACCTCATGGAAACAAACGAAGCGAAGGTAGAAAGAAAAACCACCCTCAGAAGCTTTAGCCCTGGGTCTTAAGTCTGCCCATTTTTTCCTTACATTACGCACTGGCGTTACTCCCATCAACACGCCTGTTCTGTTTTTTCTCGGCCATTTCTGACTAGGACCAGGGTCAGTGAAAAAGATGTTTGTGGGATGGACTGGACCAGATCCTGGCCCCACCCTTCATGGTTTTCCTTTAGAAAGCGCCCACTGCCTGAGGAGGACAGTGTTTCCAGGCCTCAGGGGAGTGAAAACTGTAATACCTAACGCCGAATTCCTGCCTTTAAGATACAGTATGAGGAAAGGCCAAGAAAGGTCTGGTCCAGCCAACCAGGGGAGCTGCCACCCGCGGCTCTGCGCAGGCCTCCGCCCTGCACATCGGGCCATCGCGCAGGGCACACCCAGGACTCCACGTGGGGCACTGCCACCCCTCCACGGGACACTCTCCGCCCCCCCACCCACGGGCTCCACGCGGTGGGCTCCCCACGCACGGCCCTCTTCGCACGGGCCGCCATCCTAGAAGGCCTCGCGAGCGCGGGCGTGGACCCAGTGGACC